TTTTGGTATTAAATGAATATGGAAATTAGAAGTGAAGAATAAGCAAATTAGGGCTTGTTTCTGAGACAAGAGTAGAGGTACTGTTTAAAAATAGATATATAATAATCATTTAGTTGCTTTTTTTTTTAATTGGGGAACAGTGTGTTTTTCCAGGACCCATCAGTTCCAAGTCAAGCAGGTGTTTCAATCTAGTTGTGGAGGACGCAGCTCAGTGGCCCATGTGGGGATCGAACTGGTATCCTTGGTGTTATGAGCACTGTGCTTTAACCAACTGAGCTAACTGGCTGCCCCATTTGGTCACTTTTTAAAGCAAATTTAGTCCCTTTTCCTTAAAAACCTGTCTGAGGATCAAATAGTTCTCTGTGTTTGGCTAACAGAAGGGGAACACCTATTCAGCACATTCTTCCAATCAGAAAGTGTCTCTGAAGGGTTCAGTTCCTCGGGTCTGGGGCAGCATGTACTTTATGTGACAATGATGACAGTGATGGTGGCACCTGACTTTTATTGAATGCCTGTTATGGTGCAGACACTGGCTGTTCTCTTACTATGTGATAACTTGTTCACTCTGTACAACCACTATGAGATAGTTGCTACGTTGTTCCCATTTTAAAGATGGAAAAAGTAAGTTTTAGGTGAAGGCTTGCTCAAGGGCACAGAGTTAGTGATTCAGTTGGGTCTGACCCCAGAACTTGCATTTAGAGCCTCCTTCTCTTTGTTGCCTCTTATATTTAAACTGTTCTAGAGACATATGCACCTGTGACTAGTCTCAGTATTTTGTGTTTAAGTGTTTAAGGAACTGAAACCTTGGTTTGGGTTTTGAGAATTTTTCTAGCTTATTCGAAAAAGAATGTGATATTAAGACAAGTTTGTGATATCCTACAGGCAAGATTTTGGTTAAGGGACATACTGTGTTAGGGTAACCAGTAGTTGCTCAGAGTCATAATGCAGAAACACCAGAGAGAAGATCATAGTATTTATTTTTATTTTTTTATGTGTTTCCTAGTACCATTACCCTGGGAAATACTATGGACCCACAGTCTAGATTAGAAGGAAACCAAAAAACACATATTTTTCTTACAAACCAAGCTTTGCCCAAACCAATCAATTAATCATCCCATAAAAGTGTCAAATTAGGGAAAACTGTTCTTCAAATTCTGTCTTTCCCACTCCAATGGTGATGGAAGCCATGGGAAAGAGATTATGATTGAAAAACAACACAAAATATGAATTGAACAAGATCTTAAGAGCTTTCCAATCCATCCTCCAAGGATTCTGATCATTTGACAACCCACCACATTTTTAGATGGTTTTGATCATAAGAAAATTCTTACTTAAAAAAATCCTATCTGAGGGCTCAAAAACCGTAGAAATGGGGGACTTATCCTAGAATACTGGTTTCTATTAAATTGATAACTATTCAGATTAAAATAATAAACCCAGCCCTAGAGTTAGAAGACATTGTTTCCCCAGGGGGAATGAGGCAGGAAGTTGTCCTCAGAATGGAGAATCGAAGGGACCAGTGGACCCAGGCACTGTTCTTTCCTTTTATTAAGAAAGCTATTATGGTAAATGATGAGTGACATAGGCAGAAGGAAAGACTGGACAATATCTCTCGAAAGTCTTGGGAAGTCAGCTCCTTCCTGAACTTGGCAGCTAGGCTAGTGTCCCATAATTCTGCCCATCTTTTGGTGAGGAGTCTGGTGATAGTTCTTCTAGCCTGGGAGTCCCGTGTTCCATAAAGTGATTTTGCGCCTCCTTTTATATATTTTTATTATTATTTTTAAAGATTTTACTGGGGAGTTGGGGCAGGGGAACAGTGTTGGGGGATTGGGGAGGGGGAACCAGCCAAGTTGTTCTTCAATCTTCCTTGTGGAGGGCGCCAGTCACCATCTGGCTTCCCATTGGCAGCTCGTGGCCTCTAAGCTCATGGTGTTGTGTTCAATCTTAGTTGCGGGCGGGCGTAGCCACCATTCCACGCGGGAGTTGAACCCAGCAGACTTGTTGTTAAGAACTGTGCCTCCTTTTAAACTCCACATCTGGGGATAATGTATTTCTGATCCAAAAATCTCAACTTTTTCAAGGAATCACTTTGTCTGGAGCCTTTTTTTTTTTTTTTTCTTTCCTCCAAGACAAGGACACTTAATCAAAGAAAGTCTTTCGGGGCTTGGATGTTCTTGGAACTTTGAGAAACTCTGGAATTCCTCATAAGTAGCTGGGCTGAGCCGATGTCGACCCACCTCACTACAGAGCCCGCTGCCCACTTACCCCAAAAGCCCAGGCAAAACGTCACTCCCATTTTCTCTCTTTAGGGAACAAATTGAATGAGGGGCATCAGGCCGATTCATTCTTTACAACAAAGTTTTATTTATTCTTTTCTGTGACCCCCCCGAAAAAAACATTAAAGTTGTTCATCTTTCATTTATTTTTTTAATGGTTTTCCTTTTGGATCCAAACGAGCATTTATATTACAGAATATCCGCCTGGTCAACATGCAGTGCTGAACTCTGGCTTTAGGAGAGATGCACCGATACTCCGGGTGGGCCAGCACGGCTGCCATGCCAACACTGTGATTGAAGGGGCATCAGGCTGGCACACCACAGCGGGTGCTGCCTGCAGGAAAGTGTCTCATGCGCCTTGACTCACACGTGTTTTGTGATGCGGGTGGCAGCGTTTTAACAGCCTGAGGCAGAGCACCCTTGTCCCTCTTGATGTCATCTTACATGCTCATCCTCTTAAGAGCAAACTAGGAAGGGAATGGCCTGACCTTGGGTCCCCAAGGACAGAGAGCATGGCCTGGACAGCCTGTCGCCTCTCGGTCAATGTTGTCCTTTGAGGCTAGTAGTGGTGCACCCTGCAGAGTTTGAAATCTAGTTTTGATGACGCTCATCCTGTACCACGCATGGCCCCTTCTCCTCTCTCACGGCATCCCACCGCTAGGAAGATCAATGATCTCTCTCCACTATTGGCACTACTCTCTATTGAGGAGATGCTGAAGTCATAGAGATTGTCTTCGGGCTGCTTTAAAGCAAGAACTCCCCCGCCCCCTCCATCTGCCAGATCTGGAAAAGTTTTTCAGGGATCTATTAAGCTTCTGAGGTCTTTACATCCACCAGCCTAGGTGAGATGAACAGGAAGAACACCTCTGCATCTAGTGTCATGCTAACGAGTTGACCTGTAGTCGTGTATAAAAAGAGGACCCCAGGTCACACACCTCTAAGTCTTCCTGAGACTGGCTGGTATTCCCTGCCTCACCCTTGTCATTGTCCTATAGCTTGCCTTCCTAGCCTCTACCCCCGTTGCCCCAGCTGTGAAATGCCACGCACGCTGGGTGCATTAGATTTTTCTCCTCCGTTGTTTTTCTGGGTGAGTTCCAAATCTTGGACTCGGTTTGAGTGGAATTGGACTGCTCTCTAATGTCACCAAGAGGAAGGTTCCTCTGCAATTGCAGCACTTAGGGTGGCTTTGTATAAATATTGGCTTGGTCACAAAACACCAGGATAGAAAAACACTGATTGAAGTGCGGCCTGCAGGCTAACTAATATATATCTCCATTGGTAGCCATTCAAATTCAATACCTATGTTTTTACTAAATCTGCTGGATCTGCTTAATGGTATATAGCTCCATATCAAATGGAATGCAGGCCAGGACTACTATATGCTTTCACTGGCAGTTAGATTACATTGTGTAGCCCTATTTTCATCTTAACCTTTGTTTTTAAAAATTGATTAATGGCACTTTGAAATTTTGGAGTGTTTTTTTTTTCCTGTTCATCCCTTGTGAAGATTTTTGGTAGACTTGCTTCGAGCTGTGGTTCTTGTACCACTCAGAAATCAGAGTACTGGAAAGAAAATTAAGTCACCAAATAAGGTCAAATTCAGACTTAGCAGCTTCGACTGATGTAGTTTACTTTCAGTTTGGGGGGGCCCTCCTCTGAGTGAACCGAGAAGAAATTGGCACTACCTGGTCCAAATTCTGGGATCTGGCTCCAGGATGTAGAGAGCAATCCATTCCTATCTCGAGAGAGAAAGAGAGA